GCTCTCACTGCGTTACTCACACAAGTCCATATGTCAGCAAGGATTGTTTCCTTTAATATCTTGCAAATCTATGTAATAATACATATTTTGGAGAGTTTGGAAAATGGAAAGAACTCATCCATTATCCTGCTAGGTAATTAATTTTTCTCCCCCACAATTACTTCTCTCCCTGCATCTGTGGTCTCCTACTTTGCCTTCCCAGTCCCTGTCCCTCCTGTCTCCTGGATACAGGTGTTACCCAGCTCTTACCTAGGGCCAATCCCTCCCTTCCCCCCTCGTGCCCATTCTCCCTTGACTCTCGTAAGACATCAAACTGTTCCTGTACTTGATCATGCCCATCCCCCACAAACAGGCTATTCTCCACTCATGGGGAAAAAAAAGACATCTTTAACCCTCTTGATTCCACTCCTTCTTCAGCCACCTCCCCTTTTCCCATTCCCTCTTTACCAGTCGCTCCAATTCCTCTCCTCCCACTCTCTTGAACCCATTCCAAACTAGCTTCCCCATTGGCTCGTGTCAAGTCCCCGTTAAACTTCTAAGTGCTAAATCCAAGGGCCAGTCTCAGCCTTTGTCTCATCTTCCTACCTGACCTCCTAGCAGCACGTGACGGGGTTGATCATTCCCTTCCCCTTGAAATACCTTCTTCTTGTAGTGTCTGGCACCGGCCTTTGCTATTTCCTCATCTCCCTCACGCTGTAACTTTGGAGTCCCTCAGGGTTCTCTGTCTACAATCACTCACCTGTAGCTCAGGCAATCCCAGTATTTCAAATACCACCAGTAGATTGAAAACCCCCTCATTTATATCTCCAAACTGGATCTCTCTCTTCCGAACTCGAGTTCATTTCTCATATCCTATTTGCATTTCCACTTAGATATCTAATACAATCAGTCCCCTACATACGAACGAGTTCTGTTCTGAGTGCGTGTTCATTAAGTCCAACAAAGTTAGACTAGGTACCCACCTAACACAATCGGCTATATAGTACTATACTGTAAAAGGTTTATAATACTTTTCACACAAATAATACATAAAAAACAAACAAACAGAAAAAATAAAGAAAACACTTTTAATCTTACAGTACAGTACCTTGAAAAGTACAGTAGTACAGTACAACAGCTGGCATGCAGGGGCTGGCATCGAGTGAATAGGCAAGAAGAGTTACTGACTGGAGGAGGGAGAGGAGGTGGGAGATGGTAGAGCTGAAGGATCGTCAGCAACAGGAGATGGAGGACAAGCCGCACGTGGCAATGTACACCAGACACGTGAACTAATACGTGATTGGACATGCGAATGCACGTTCGCGTATTTGAAAGTTCACAGCTTGAAGTTTCGTATGTAGGGGTCTTAGTGTGGTAAGTGTGTCCACAACAGAGCTGCTGGTATCTCTTCCAAACCCGTGCCCTCAGCCTTCCCCCCTCAGTTAACTCCATCCTCCCACTTTCCTCCAAATACCTTGGAGCCATCCTTGATGGCTCTCTTCCTCTCTCTCATAAATCTTGGTGAAAATACATCCAGAATTTAACCCCTGGTTACCAATTCCACTGCTGAGGGCCTGGTCCAAGCCACCACCATCTGTCACTTGGATTCTTACACTCATCTCTTAACTATGCTCCCTGTCTCCACTCTTGTCCTCCGCCTAATACAAACTCAAAAGCCAGACTGAACTTCTCCAATGTAAGCAAATGAACCCCTCACTTGAAGCCCTCTTGTCATCTCAGAGTCAACCACAAGGTCCTTACCCTGGCCTAGGAGGCCCCATGACCTGGTCTTTTCTCCTTGCACTTGCCAGCTTGTTCACTCTGTCCACCACACTGGCCTCTGGCTGTCCTGTGTCCACCCTAGGCATGTGCCAGCCTCAGAGCGGTCATGCTTGCTGTCCCCTCCCCAGCAATGCTCTGCCCACCCCCCATGTAGACAGGGCCTGCCCTCTCATTTCTTGAAGTCTTTACTCAGATTTTAATACTCTGTCCTACTCCCCTGCTTTCTTTTTCTCCACAGCACTTACCACCAGCTGACAGACTTTATACCTTATGTATTTATTTTGTTTACTGTCTGTCCTCCTCCCACTAGACTGTAAGCTCTCAGGGAAGGCTGTATTTTGTATTGTTCA